AATGCTGGAGTAACTACAAAAGTGCCTAGAGAGAAAACTTATTTAAGCATCTCTAGTTCTCCATCATGACTCTATTTTTAGTTGTCCAAAAAACATCTACACTCCCTTAAAATATATTTAAATCATGCGCTCAAGAGGAAGGTGCATCAAGCCAAACATGACCGGGACCTCCTTCAACCTGGAAATCAATGCTCTCACTGTGGGAGAACATGCAGATCAAGAATTGGGCTCCACAGTCACCTATGGACCCACAGCCAGTATACCCATCTTGGAAGACAATCCTACTCAGACAATGGGGGATCGCTTAAGTAAAGTAAATAAGTTCCTGCTGCACATCTTCACTACACATCTTCACTACAGGCTTCCTAAAGCACACTGCTTCTAAAAATGGAATCTGAGTCCTGAACAAGCCCAGCTCTAATCGCATGGTCTGCAGCCCCTCCCATAACAAAGAGATTAAAGAAAATTGCAAACCAATACACACATATACAATACATCAAGCAATTATATACATAACAAATAACCAGTGCAGGTGGTTGCTATTTCCAACATCTATGGCCAGCCTCAAGTGGCTTTTGGTACAAGGTATATAGGAAACCCTAATAGATTTTGTATTTAGATTCCACTGCTATTGCCAAGAAATCTCCTTATGCAAGTATATGCTATGAGGGTTGAATGAAAAGTAATGCCTCCACCTTCATTACTTGGGTTTGGATGGGAATATTTTAATAAATCAAACGTAAAAATAATCCTTAGAATGTGCTCTTTAACTACCACTATTCACTTTTCCACATAATCACCAGACAATCGGATACATTTCTGCCAACAATGAACAAGTTTTCTGAAACCGTCACAGAAGTCGACACTCTGTTTCCACAACCCACCCTGCACAGATCTTCCGATAGCCAAGCAAAGCAATAATGTGACCCACACGTTCTTGTGAAATGCCGATTATGCTTGAAATTTCTCTCTGATACGACAATCGTCCTGATACGACAATCGTCCTGAATCAATCTGTCAACCTTTTGCTTGTGAAACTCGGTGGTTGCTGTCACAGGACGTCCAATTCTTTGTTTGTCACGCAAGTCAGATGTTCCCATGTCAACATCTTTAAACTTACTCACCCAATGATGCACAGAACTCACATCAACACAATAACCATAAACAGCTTGTATTCTCTGATGAATCTCCTTTGGGGTGACACCTTTTGCTATCAAGAATTCAATGACGGCATTTTGCTTAAGACATATCTGTTTCGACAGGCCTTTGATCTTTGATATTGTTGTTTTTAAATTGTTTTTTAAATTGTTTTACATTGTTTGTAAATTGTGTTAGATTTTAGCCTGTTCTTGTAAGCTGTACCGAGCCCCAGGGGAGTGGCGGCATATAAGTTTGAATAAAGAAATAAATAAATAAAGTCCATTGACTGACCGTCTGCGCAGGGTTCCACACTTTAACAACACAACCGTTCAATGCTAAGGCTTCCCGTCAAAATGGAACTGTAGAGGAGAGTCTACTGAACAAGCCAGTACCTGCTGCATACCAGTACAGCCATCTGTTGAGGAGTTACGAAGGTGGAGGCATTACTTTTCATTCAACCCTCGTAATACAAATACTCCAAAATCCCCTGTGCATATATTTCCGCAATCTAAAAGCCTTCTTCTCCTAAGCATTTCAGATAAGGGATACTCCACCTGCCAAAGGATTGCTAACAAGGATTCCTATTTTATCTGCCACATTCCTGTTTCTCCTCCTTCCCTTTTTTTGGGTAATGGATCCCCAGGTGTCCCACCCCAAGACAAAAGCAGCTAATGAAATCCCAAGCTCTTGTCTGGCCTGCCATTGCCACTGCATTCCTCTGTGTCAGTTTTGTTGCATAACCCCAGCGGAGGGGAGAACAGCCATTGAGGAAACAATGCCATGACCCCAGGGGGGCCCGTATTAGCAGGGAAAGCTGTCAGATGCTGTGAATCGCTGGGCTTAGGTGACAAATCAACATTCCCAGCAGGAGAGACAGATCGGTGGCCTCCTCCAACTTCTTCAAGGCTGGAAAGCAGCCAAAAAAGGACTGCTCACAAATAGGAGAGTGGTGGAAGGGAATGGCATGGAGGAGGAAAGGCAAGAAGGTGGTGAGATGCTTCAGCACCAAAGATGATCTCTTCCTGCCCCTTTCTAGCCAATGATGATGATGATAATAACAACAACTACTCACCTAGTAAAGGTAAAGTTATAGGTTTTCCCCTGACATTAAGTCTAGTTGTGTCCGACTCTGGGCGGTGGTGCTCATCTCCATTTCTAAGCCAAAGAGCTGGCATTGTCCGTAGACACCTCCAAGGTCATGTGGCCAGCATGACTGCATGGAGCGCCGTTATCTTCCTGCCGGAGTGGTACCTGTTGATCTACTCACATTTGCATGTTTTCTAACTGATAGGTTGGCAGAAGCTGGAGCTAACAGTGGAAGCTCACGCCGCTCCCTCGATTCGAACCTGCAACCTTTCAGTCAGCAAGTTCAGCAGCTCAGCGGTTTAACCCACTGTGCCACTGGGGACTCCGTGTGTGTATGTATGTAATACATGTATTTTTGGATCTATGTTTAAGCATTTCCCCTAGAAAAATAAATGCATTTTATTTTATGCATTGATAGCAGTGATAATAATAATAATAATATGCATATCTATATAAATAAAAATGTAATGTTTGTTTGTGGGATTAACAGAACTGAAAAACCACTGGACGAATTGACACCCAATTTTGACACAATACAGCTATCAGGCCAACGAGTGACCATCACTAAAAAAAAATGATTTTGTCATTTGGGAGTTGTAGTTGCTGGGATTTATAGTTCACCTACAATCAAAGAGCATTCTGAACCCCACCAACGATGGAATTGAACCAAACTTGGCAGACAGAACTCTGGACACAAGACACCTAACAACCCAATGTATGTCCTTCACTAAAAAACCCCGACTTTGTCATTTGGGAGTTGTAGTTGCTGGGATTTATAGTTCACCTACAATCAAAGAGCATTCTGAACCCTACCAACGATGCAATTGAACCAAACTTGGCGCACAGTTCTCCCATGACCAAGAGAAAATACTGGAAGGGTTTGATGGGCAGTGTCCTTTGGTTTTGGAGTTGTAGTTCACCTACATCCAGAGATCACTGTGGACTCAAACAATGATGGATCTGGACCAAACTATACACGAATACTCAACATGCCCAAATATGAACACTGGTGGAGTTTGGGGGAAATAGAATCTTGACATTTGGGAGTTGAAGTTTCTGGGATTTATAATTCACCTACAATCACAGAGCGTTCTGAACCCCACCAATGATAGAATTGGGCCAAACATCCCACACAGAACCCCCCATGTGGGCCACAGCAATGCGTGCCAGGGAACTGCTAGTCTATATAAATAAAAATGTAATATTAATTTCTGGGATTCACATAACTCAAAAACCACTGGACGAATTGACATCAAATTTGGACAGAATATACCTGTCAGGCCAACGAGTGACCATCACTTATAAAAAGTGAAAAACACAGCAAGAGACTTAATAAGCCAAAAAATAAAAATACATTACAATGCATGTGCAAAACCACATATATACAACATATACACAAATACACACACACACACACATATAAATACATACACTGGGTTGTTGTAGGTTTTTTCGGGCTATATGGCCATGTTCTAGAGGCATTCTCTCCTGACGTTTCACCTGCATCTATGGCAAACATCTTCAGAGGTAGTGAGGTCTGTTGGAACTAGGAAAATGGGCTTATATATCTGTGGAATGACCAGGGTGGGACAAAGAACTCTTGTCTGCTGGAGCTAGGTGTGAATTAAGAACGCCTCAATCAACTTTGACATACGACAGCAGCTATGTAAATCGGAAGCCCTTCCACCCAGGCTTTATGGACTCCCAAAAATCCATAAGGACTCCACCCCACTCAGACCCATCGTGAGTGCCATTGGATCCCCCACATATGACTTAGCCAAATTTCTTGCTGCTCAGTTACAAAGTCACATTGGGCTCACAACACACTACATCAAGGACTCAGCCCACTTCATTGCAGAGCACCTGATGAACCAGCCTGGACACAGCATATTATTTGAGAACACAGAAATGCTGGACCACTCTCACAACCACCATGTCAGACTACACAAAGAAGCCATTGAAATCCACAAGCATGTGGACAATTTCAACAGAAAGGATGAAACCATGAAAATGAACAAAATCTGGCTACCAGTATTAAAAAACTCAAACATTACAACAGCAAAACAGCAGAGAGGAAACAACCAGGCACATCTTAACACCTCTCAACAAAAAATCCCCCCAGGCTCAGCCAGGCCTTCAAATGCTAATGAAGGTGGTCAGCTGAAACATTCACACCTAGCTCCAGCAGACAAGAGTCCTTTGCCCCACCCCAGCCATTCCACAGATATATAAACCCATTGTCCTAATTCCAACAGACCTCACTACCTCTGAGGATGCTTGCCATAGATGCAGGCGAAACGTCAGGAGAAATGCCTCTAGAACATGGCCCTATAGCCCGAAAAAACCCACAAGAACCTAGTAATACATTAATTTTTTTTGCAATGAGGTCTAGGCACTTGCCCAACAAAACATGTATGGATATTGGAGATAAGAAACATTGATTTATTTGATTTCTTAATAAAATACATAGTAAAAAAAAAGTATCAAAAGTAGAAGGAACTGCAACTTCCTAAAGGCTTTGCAACATCTTACCTATTTTTTTTGCAATATCTTACTATTTTTTTGCAACATCTTACCTATTTTTTTGCAACATCTTACCTATTTACAAGGAGGGAAACAGAGAGGGGGAGTGGCATTGCAGGACACGCCCACCAGCCAATGAAAAGAGAGGGGGGCGTGGCCGAGAATGGGCGAGCCAATGGGAGAGGCGTGAGAGACCTGAGCAGAGCCGGCCTGGATGTGGGCGTGGCCAGATCTTAAGTGGGCGGGGCCAGAGAGCCTGGCTGGTTGCAGTGCAAGGAAGTGGGCGAGGCGAGCAAGCAGCAGAAAGCAGCACTTCTCCCTCTTTGCCTTTTTTACCCATTGGAAGCCCATAGAGAAGAAGCAGGAGAGCCTTTGCTCATCCAGGAGAGCCAGGAAGGTGAGTGGGAACAGCATCCATCCATCCAGGCTCTTTCCCTGCCTTGTCTCTTTGTTCCTTTCTCCTCCTGATTCAAAAGTTTTCAGTGGATCCCTTGAATAGATCCCTTTTTTAAGTCACCATTGCTGGAATATATATATATATATATATATATATATATATATATATAATTTCTATGTATGCAAATTGAACTCATGCAAATTCATCAAAATATGTATTTATTTTTATGCAAATTAAATCTATGCAAATGAAAGCCATGTGGATTCATTACAATTATTTATTCTATTTTTTTTTACTGCAAATTAAATGCAATTTTGTAAAAACTATTAAACCCTTTGCGCCATTAAATATAGTTATGTATTTTACTTTCTTTATGCTGCCTTTATTCTATTATTTATTCAAATAATAATATAATGATAATATAATAGTAACAGTAATACAATATAATAATGTGTAATAATCATATTGTAATATGGTAATACTAATATGTCAATTATAATTACTACTGATAATATATAAGTATGTAAAAACTATTAAACCCTTTGTGCCATTAAATATAGTTATGTACTTTACTTTCTTTATGCTGCCTTTATTTTATTATTTATTGTAACAATAATATAATATAATACAATATAATAGTAGTAATAATAATACAGTATAATAATATATAATAATAATATTGTAATATAGTAATACTAATATATTAGTTATAATTATGAGTGTGTAAAAACTATTAAACCCTTTGCACCATTAAATATAGTTATGTATTTTACTTTCTTTATGCTGGCTTTATTTTATTATTTATTGAAATAATAATATAATACAATATACTAGTAATAATAATAATAATACAATATAATAATATATAATAATAATATTGTAAAAACTATTAAACCCTTTGTGCCATTAAATATAGTTGTGTATTTTACTTTCTTTATGCTGCCTTTATTTTATTATTTATTGAAATAATAATATAATGTAATACAATATACTAGTAATAATAATAATACAATATAATGATATATAATAATAATATTGTAATATAGTAATGCTAATATATTAGTTATAATTATTTATTTTATTATTTATTAAAATAATAATATGATGTAATACAATATAATAGTAATAATAATAATACAGTATAATAATATATAATAATAATAATAATAATAATATTGTAATATAGTAATACTAATATATTAGTTATAATTACTACTGGTAATATATAACCAGTAATATATATATAATATATAATTCATAAAAATATTTATTTCATTTTCATACAAATTAAATTCAAATTCATCAAAATATGTATTTCATTTTTATGCAAATTTACTAATATATTAGTTATAATTACTACTGGTAATACATAACCAGTAATATATATAATATATAATTCATCAAAATATTTATTTCATTTTCATGCAAATTAAAACCATGTGAATTTGTTAAAATTATTTTGTTTTCAATGCAAATTAAATGCAACTTGAAAACATATAAAATATGAGTATGTAAAAACTATTAAAGTCTTTGTACCATTAATACTGTTATTTATTTACTTTCTTTATGTCACCATTATTTTATAATTTTATAGATATTAATTTGTTTATATCCTGCTTTATCTCTCCATTCGGAGACTCAAAGCGGCTCACAATTAAAAAAATACAACTTAAAAAAAACAATAATAAAACCGTATATTATTATATGTATTGTTATATATTATCAGTGGTAATTATATTTAATATGTTAGTAATACAATAACAATATATATAACGTAATATATATTATTATATATATTGTTATATATTATCAATAGTAATTATATTTAATATATTAGTAATACAATAATAATAATATAGAACACTAGCTGTTCCCTGCCATGCGTTGCTGTGGCCCAGTCTGTTGATCTGGGAAATAAAGTAATGAGAAAGTGTTGGTTTCTAATATATATAATTATGCTTGTGAGTAAACAGTATTTCTTGCTGTGTCTTTGTCAGTGTTGATGTGGAGAGTGTCTAGTTTACCCACCCCGAAACATGCAACATATCATTGTCCTTCTTTAAAGGTCCCTTTCAAATCTATGATACTATATCTCTCTGTTTGTGAATCATTATCTATCTATCTATCTATCTATCTATCTATCTATCTATATCAATGGCTGGATGGCTCTTTCTTGCCCTGATGAAGGGAGTTGGATTGGATGGCCTTAAGTATTTTCTGTTGGTTGTGTCGGAAGTCTGCCCGGATTCTGCTGTTCATGGGGTTCAGAATGCTTTTTGATTGTAGGTGAACTGTGAATCCCAGTGACTACAACTCCCAAATGTCAAGCTCTATTTCCCCCAAACTCCATCTGTGTTTATATTTGGGCATATTGAGTATTCGTGCCAAGTTTGGTCCAGATCCATCATTGTTTGAGTGAACGAGCCCTATGAGGAGTGGCTTAAAGAGCTGGGCATGTTTGGCCTGAAGAAGAGAAGGCTGACAGGAGACATGATAGCCATGTATAAAAATGCGAGAGGAAGTCATAAGGAGGACGCCGCAAGCTTGTTTTCTGCTGCGCTGGAGATTGGGACACGGAACAATAGCTTCAAATTACAGGATAGGAGATTCCACCTGAACATGAGGAAGAACTTCCTGACTGTAAGAGCCGTTCAGCAGTGGAACTCTCTGCCCGGAGTGTGGTGGAGGCTCCTTCTTTGGAAGCTTTCCAACAGGCTGCTTCTTGGCTGAATGGGGTTGCTTTGAATGCGATTTTCCAGCTTATTGGCAGAGGGTTTGACTGGATGGTCCATGAGGTCTCTTCCAACTCTATGGCCATCTGTCGGGGGTGCTTTGAATGCCATTTTCCAGCTTCTTGGCAGAATGCGGTTGGATTTGATGGCCCATGAGGTCTCTTCCAACTCTATGGCCATCTGTCGGGGGTTCTTTGAATGCGATTTTCAAGCTTATTAGTGGAATGAGGTTGGACTGGATGGCCCATGAGGTCTCTTCCAACTCTATGGCCATCTGTCGGGGGTGCTTTCAGTGTGATTTACCAGCTTATTGACAGAATGCGGTTAGACTGGATGACCCATGAGGTCTCTTCCAACTCTTATGATTGCAAGACTCTTACAAGTAGATTGTATACAGTATGCCCTTCTTATCCACATAATCGTGGTTTCATTTATCCACACCTGATAGGCATTTCCTACGTCCTCTGGTGTGACTCTTGGAATCCTAGAGTTGGAAGAGACCTCATGGGCCATCCAGTCCAACCTTATTCTGCCAAGGAGCTGGAAAATTGCATTCAAAGCACCCCCGACAGATGGCCATCCAGCCTCTGCTTAAAAGCCTCCAAAGAAGGAGCCTCCACCACACTCTGGGGCAGAGAGTTCCACTGCTGAACAGCTTGGGTCAGAAGTCTTCTATTTCAGTAGGCTTTGCTATGTGTCCATGCCTTCTCAGATCCACGCAAATGTGTAAACAAGACACATTGCAGCGAATCTTTTTGTTTTCTCTCTATTAAACAGTATAGATGCATCCTTTATATCTAAAGACTCTTAGAAATAGATTATATACATATATAGTAAAGGTGAAGGTTTTCCCCTGACATTAAGTTCAGTCGTGTCCAACTCTGGGGGTTGGTGCTCACCTCCATTTCCAAGCCGAAGAGCCGGCGTTGTCCGTAGACATCTCCAAGGTCATGTGGCCAGCATGACTTCATGGAGTGCCATTACCTTCCCGCTGGAGTGGTACCTATTCATCTACTCACATTTGCATGTTTTTGAATTGCTAGGTTGGCAGAAGCTGGGGCTGACAGCAGAAGCTCATGCCACTCCCCGGATTCAAAACTATGACCTTTCGGTCAACAAGTTTAGCAGCTCAGCTGTTTAACCCACTGTGCCACCAGGAGCTCTTTATACATCTATATAAATAAAAAATTAAAGTTTGTTTGTGGGATTAACATAACTCAAAAACCACTGGACACATTGACACCAAATTTGGACACAATAACATATCAGGCCAACAAGTGACCATCACTCATAAAAACACAGCAGAAGAGACTTAGAAAGCCAAAAAATAAAAAGTACATTACAACACATGCGCAAAACCACACATATACACATATACACAAATATATACACACACATACACACACACACACAAAACACATATACACAGACTGGGCCACAGCAACGCGTGGTAGCGGATGGCTAGTGTGTGTGTGTGATATATACACACACACACATATATATGTATGTGTGTGTGCATATATATATATATATATATATACACACACACACATACATATGTAAGTACATACATATGTACATATATGTACATACACACACACACACACACACACATATCCATATGAGTCACCTGAGGGCTGAGAAGAGCGGTATACAAGTGAAATAAATAAATAAATAAATTATATATATATATATATATATATATATATATATATATATATATAAATAAATATACACACCCAAGGCACATATACACAGACTGAGCCATAGCAATGCGTGGCAGGGGACGGCTTGTGTGTGTGTGATATATACACACACACACACATAAGCCGTCCCCTGCCACGCATTGCTATGGCTCAGTCTGTGTATATGTGCCTTGGGTGTGTATATATGTGTATATATATATATATATATATATATATATAATTTATTTATTTATTTATTTCACTTATATACCGCTCTTCTCAGCCCTCAGGTGACTCATATGGATATGTGTGTGTGTGTGTGTGTGTGTATGTACATATATGTACATATGTATGTACTTACATATGTATGTGTGTGTGTGTGTGTGTGTGTGTGTGTGTATATATATATATATATATATATATATATATATATATATATACACACATACACACACATACATATATATGTGTGTGTGTGTATATATATATACACACACACACACATACATATCCATATAGTCATTCCAAATAGTGGTAGTCAATGGGGTAAATCCTTGTGTCAGCTGAACTGCTGACCTGAAGG